GAATCGCCGGTTCTTTTTTTTTTTTTTTTTTTAATTATTTTTTTATTTTTTAAAATTGTATTAATTAAAGAAAAATAGAGCTCTGTCCTTTTGGAGAGTTTTGAAGCAAGGGGACATCCAGTCGCAACGAGCAGAGTTCCCAGCGGCTCAGGAGGCACTTCGGAAACTATCGCGGCACTCCACGCTCTTCGTCTTCATTCCTTCATTAGTGCATATGTCGGGGAAGCCCTCGGCGGCTCCGCGCAGCCTTTAAGGCCTCGTCAGGGTCGTATAGACCGGCTGGTCCCAGTTAGCGGTGGGGCTGTGGGCGGGGGGGATGGACAAGCCGTTGAGGATGGGCGTCGCGTAGGGACGGCGGGAGGAGTGGAAATAGGGATACTGGTAAATGCTGGAGGGGTAGCCGGGGTAGGGGTTGTAGTAGTTGGAGCTCTGGAGGTCCGTGTAGTCGCACTGGGAGCTGGAGAAGGAGGCGGCGGCCGTGGCGGTGGAGGCGGTGGTGGCACAAGCCTGGGCGCTGTAGGAGCCGTAGTCGGAGTGCGCGGGGGAGCCGTGGGACTGGTCGCTGTAGTGGCTGGGGCTCAGCTGCTCTGTTTTGATGTGCGGCCTTTGCTGGCCCGAGTCGGCGGACGACGGTGACGCTGAAGCCGGGCTTTTGTGAGTCCAGACCTGGTTGGTCCCACCGGTGCCCGTGGCCGAGTGGGAGTAGGACGCGCCGTAGGAGCCGGCGGCGGCGTTGGGGCCGTGATCGGCCGGCATGGCAGCGTGGCCGTTGAGTGGCAGGTACTGGTCGAACTCGTGGACGTCGAAGGTCTCCATGTTGTTGATGACCTCGCTGCTCAGCTCCGAGATGTCCACGTTGCTGAAGTCGATGTTCTGGCGGCCGCTCTCCACGAGGCGGCGGGCCTCGGGCTTCCGGGCTCCTGCTTGCTGCCGTGGTGGAGGTCGGTTTTGGGGGTGGTGGGTGGGGTGGGTGGCCCGTGGGTCTGGCCTGGGGATGAAGGGACAGAAAGGCTTTAACAAGAGCGCCCGCAAAACAACAGACTCCTTCAAGGAGGATAAAAAAAATGCACATTTCTCCCCCTTCTTATTGCAAGAGGAGAAGAGGGATTTAAATCTATGGCCCCATGTTGGAGGTAGCTGATGTCCCCCTGTGACCATGCTGGGGACCATGTCCTCGGCTGGGGTAAACCACCCGCATAGGTGATGGTTCACAGTGGGGAGGAGAAGCCAGGGAGCGCACCGTGCTCATCAGGGTCACTCTGGGACATGGCGGGACACCCCCGGGCTGCACGAACTGCCCCTCACCTGGGAAGCAGAACCAGGGGGTGGATTTGGAGGGACCCACTCAACCCCTCCCCGCAGGCAGCCTGAAGCCAGCCCGGCTCTCCCCGAGGCAGAGAAGCCGTCCCGGCAGAGCGGGCCGGGGCCGGGATCCCCAGCCAGGCTGGGCGAGAGCGCAGACGCGTCTGAAGCTGCAGGACGTTCGCAATCCTCCTGGAATCTGTCAACACGCGCCCTGTGCCAATTCACAGCGCTGCCGAGAAGCGGGGAGCTTCGGGGGGAAGACGCGTCTCCAGGACCCGCTCCCCCAGGCACCCTTCACATGGCCAACAGATTATTAACCCTTATTAGCTCGCAATTAATTCTCCCTGCTCCCGGGCCAGCCGGGAAACCAGGATCCCTGCGCTTTGGGGATTTCCTATCGCACAGTCAGCTCTATAAGCATTTACTAAAGAAAAATGTAGCCACGTTCACAACCTGGTGCAAAACCACAGCTCTCGGGGTAACAACTCCTGCTTTTGGATGGCCCCAATCCCACCGACATTCATCCGGGGGGGCAGATGAGCCCGTGCCCGCCAGCGGGTTCATGTCCCAAACCAACGTGCTCGGGACCTGCAGATTTTTTTGCCCGCAGGGGCCCTTTACCTGTGTGATCGCCGTGATGGTGGGAATCGGCCATGCCTCCCAGCCCGCTGTCCGCTTTGTAGATCTGCGTGCCTGCGTGGTGGCTGAGCTCGGCTCCGGAGTCGGAGTCGCTCTGCCCGGCTTTTACGCTTTTCCTCCTCCGTGGCTGGTATTTATAATCCGGGTGATCCTTTTTGTGCTGGACCCTGAGCCGTTCAGCTTCTTCCACAAAGGGACGTTTCTCATTTTCACTTAACAAACTGGTTTGGGATGGATTTTTTTTTTTTAAATAAGGAGGAGGTGAAAAAAGAATAATCCAAAATTAATTTATTTTCCTTAGAAGTTTTCAGCCTATTTTCAGACTCACACATCCCCTCTTCCCATACACTGATTCGAGCAACCAGAAAGTTAATTACAAAACGAATTTGCCGTGGCAAAAAAGAGCTAAACTATGTTGCAAAAATGTATTAAAATACCAACTACAGAGGTGTGAAAAAAAGCCAACCACTATGGATACTGATAACTGGGCAAAACAAAATCCCTCTGCCCCATTTTAAATGCCTTTGCCAAATATTATTCCTATGTTTGTCCTACAAATGTCACCCCCTCACCGTGACAAACACCACTGCCCATTTCCAGCTTTGTTTGGTGCTTACAAAGAAACCACGAAGGCAACAGCGATGGGATTATTTCTTTCAAAACTCTCCCCCGCCCAGACCTCTCTTTGCAAACTCTCGGAGAGTCTCAAACCGCAGCGGGAGCGTCGCCGGCCCAAACAGGCAGGAAAGATGCAAGTTTGGTACAGCCAGACACGACCAAATGTACCACACGGTAAAACGTGGCTCGTCGCAGAGCCTTGGAAAGCAGAGCGCACTCAGATGCCGCCCAGCAAAAAAAGTTTGCATCGGTGGGCAGCGCTGAGCATGCAAGCACACAGATAAGAAGGGAAATTAGAGAGCAGCTTAAAATAACTGCTAAAAATTGGCTTGTTCGGTTTTATAGCTTGTTAAGCGACAAGCAAGCCAAGGAAAAAAACTTTTAGAAAAAGCCGTTATAAAAGAAGCAAGTAAAAAAAAGTCTCGGTCTCCTGGGGACGGGGACACGGGAAACCTTGGCCAGGAGAGGAAAGGGCCCAGGCTCCCGCGCGCAGAGGGCCAAAAAAATAAACGAAGATTAAAGAGAAAAAGAAGAGTTTAAAAAAAGGGAGGGGGAAACCAGCCGTGCCGT